TTTTCATTAACATACTTATATTAATGCATTCTTATTCAACTAAATTATTCAAATCTCTATTAATTAAATTGTTTTTAATAAATTATTTGATTTTGATACTTATCAAAAAAATAACCTAATTTATAAAATCTTTCATTATTCAGCTTTCAACTCTTTATATATTTTACCTAACACATTTTATTTTAAACTTATTTTCAAAAAACTTATTTTAAAGTTATTTATACAGTATTAACAGTTCAAAATTCTAATATATTATATAAAATTAGTTTCTAAGTTATTATTAATATTCTTCTTAATATTAATGAATAATTATATAAGCAATTATAAATAACATATTGTATTCACTTTTTTAACTAAAAAAACAACAAAATAAACTTTAATTCTAACTAATTAATAAACTCAATATTATTTAACTTAACAATTAAGTATACACATTTTTAAAAAAATTATATTTATTCATATTTTTGTGAATTTCTAAATTAATTATATAGTTACTTTAATATATATTCTTCTATTAGCTAAGTAATTTACAAAATTAACATTTAGTCTATTTTATAGATCAAATATAATATATTATCAAATTATATATTAAATATTCAAATATAAATGAACTTTGATCATTTTAGTAAATTTAGATTGCAAATAATTAGTCTAAGCTTTTATTTTTGTATGTAGTAGTTATATAGTTAACAGTTTAATGATTAGCCTTAACTGCAAGTGTTGACTTTAGTCATAATATATATATATTTAATTATTTTAAATTATTAATAAAAATATAAGCAAGACCTCACCTTAATACTAAAAAAAAAAGAATATATGAAGAGAAGGTATTTTATTAAGTTTACAATTTGTAGATAATAGTTTAAATAAAAAAATTAGTAAAAATATATATTAGATATAAATATTTAAATTAAAGTAATTAATAATACTTAGTACAAGAATAAGTAAAGTAATAAAGTAGAATAATAGATAAAATAATAAGATGAAATAATAAGTAAAATAATAAGGTGAAATAGCAAGTAAAATAATAAATCAAATAATATAAAATAATAAATAAAATAATAAGATAAAAAGTAGGTAAAATAAAAAAAAAATAATAAGATGAAAAGCAGGTAAAAATAAATAAAATAATAAGATGAAATAGTAGATAAAATAATAAGGTGAAATAGTAGATAAAATAATAAAATGAAATAGTAAGTAAAATAATAAAATAACAAATAATAAGATGAAATAGTAAGTAAAATAATAGATGAAATAATAAGTGAAGCATGTGATCATAGTTATATCATTTATTACAAGAGTATTCGGTATACATAATAAGATAGTTTTTAAGTATATTGAAATTTATTATGATAAATTATTAATAAGTCTGATATAGAGATAGTTAACTAAATATAAATTTTAATAAAATTTTATAAATGTTTATTACATATTGTATATAAGGTAATTTAATGGAATTATATGTATAAGGCAAATATGTAATTAAATGGAGTTATACGTATAAGGCAAATATGCAATTAAATGAAATATCGTATAACGATAAGTAATAATATTAAAGCTTGCAGTGAAGAATATCATTTACATAAATGATCACAGAATTGTTGATTACGTACAGAATTTTTATTCGAGATTAACTTTAGTTTTGTAAAACCTCAAAATTTTGTTACTAAATTGTGTAAATTATGTTCAAATGCAAATGTGGTTGCGACCTTTATGGTATAAAATCTTTGAATATCTTTTTTATTTCACATTGAGAATTCTTAGGCCTAAAGTACAATAAGGATTTGTGTGATTGTTTTCAGAGGACAGATTTCGGTGAATGGATTTGTTAGGAATACTTTTGCGTCATGTACAGTATATATAAGATTTTTTTACAATCTTAGAGTTGTCTTTATATTTATTCCTTCAACCAACATAATTTCTTAACGTCCTATAAATAAATTGATAAAATTGGCATTATTAATTTTACAATATTAGATTTGCAAAAGAGAGACTTTGTAGTTTTGATTTCTAGAAACGTTAAGATCAGGTGACCAATATAATATACTAAAAGGGCTTTAGTGTTAGCGCGTCACCAAAAAGAGATAACCCCGAGTTTGAGTGAATGAAATTATAAAATTGGAGGGAAAATCAGATTATCGTCTGTACGTACATACGTAAATTTATTAGGACTCTCAATCGACAGGTAGAGTAATTAAAATTTGGACAAGCTATACGTACAAATTGTGTGTATAAAAATTATGTATAAAAATTGTGTATAAAAATTGTGTATAAAAATTGTGTATAAAAATTGTGTATAAAAATTGTGTATAAAAATTGTGGAGGCACAGACCATATTTTTTTTCATAGTTACGCCGATTGGCCAAAGTAATCAAACACGCTGCCATCACTTGCATTACATGATCCACGGAAGTTCTCAAAATTAGTTATATGAATTAATTAGTTCAAGTGGATTATCTTTTTGGTATAGACCAGTTAAACGGTTTTTATGTCTGAAACATTTATCCTGTTATAATCATCTTGTTACAATTATTTAACTCTGGGACTATTCAATAATCGGTTAAACCAAGATCTTTATAAGATCTTTATAAGATTAATTAAACTATCAAACTCATCCGAACTTTATTATATAAAGTAATATTTTAGTTTTTTTTTCGTGTTTATACATCTATTCGAATCATTAATGTTAACTGTTGACTGATAAGATCTAGGGATCGGAACCGCCTAAAATTTTTCTTAATCGTTTAACCGTTTAATTTTGCCGGCATTAAAATAATTCCGACCCATTACCAACCTAATTTTGCCCGGATAAGATTAAGCAATCGATTCCTAAATTACAAACCATAACAACCTTTCATATACGCATATATACGTATTATTAGATTAGTGTTAGGATTTTTTATTATTATACATTATTATAAATTATTACGTATAAATTAATTATTATACGTAATAAATTATTATAAATCATTATTATAATAAATTATTATTGGTATGTATAGCCTGCTGCAAATAAGTAACAGTTTTAGTGTTTCGGTTAAACGAAATACGTATACGTATGCAGTGTCAAGTATGCAGTAAATCTTGGAACACAATCAAACAAACATACATACATAAGTATACCAGTATACGTACATACCAGATACGTAGGTAAGGATTCTTATTCATAATTTTAATTAAAAATACGTACGTACGTATAGTTTTTTTATAACTATATATTTATATTTGTAAAGTACAGAAGTATTTATCGATATGCTTTGGGAAGATTTTTAGTTTAAAATTTTATACAGTACGTATTAACGTAATTTACATAGATTTACATACGTATCACTGTATTAAAAATACAAATAAAAAAGACAAAATAAAGTTTCAAGTTCAAATTATTAATGCTTAGTGTCACAATATATAATATATATAGTTATATTTATATTACACCAAATACGTAGTGGTAGTTTCGGAAAAAGATTCATAGATAATATGGGCATTGATAATCTATCACTATTGTTTAATTATAAGAACAATTAGCAATGCACAGGTCGAGTAACAATCATTAACAAAGAAACTCGAGACCTTTCCTGTATCCTGTAAGTTTAGGAATTTTTTGAAACCTTTAAAACCTCACCTGATATGCGGTTATTTCTTAGCAGGTAATTTCTTGTTGGTCTCATTTTATATATTTATTTGCATATGCATCCAATACTTTTTTTTTTTTAAGCGCGGTAGAAAGCCTATTTATAATTATGCATTACATTACATACACTTACCATTTCGTTACAATTTTTCATTTCTTTATTTGCGTTACATATTTGTTATATCTAATTAAAGTCCTTCAAATAAAAATTTATATCAAAAAGAATTTATTGCTTTAATGTTTTTAATGTTTGATTGATATCTTATCACGCATTCCATCCCACACTTCATCCCGCACTTCATCCCGCATTTTATCCCGCATTTCATCCCACATTTATCCCATATTTATCCCACATTTTATCACTTATTTATCAGTTTTTTTTTCTTATTGTTCTCTTATTTCCTATTTTTTTCTCACTTACTTCACTTACTTTGAAAGGAAACTCAAATGTATCATGAAACTATAAAGTCATTATTAAAGTCATTATTGATATTATATATCATTATAATGTTCCCGGATTCTTATTCCGAAAAAAAAAACTTTGTGAGCTAACAATTTCCAAATTTCTTGTTTCACGTGCAAATGTGAAATGTATCTAATGAATAAGGAAAAAATAAAATTTGTGTCCGATTTACCATTTATATTTTGGAATGCAAGTTACACATGATTTTTGTTATTGTACGCTATATATTATGTATTAATACGTATGTACTGCTTACTTATTTTTAGAACACTTCTATTTTTCTTTAGAACTCTCTCGTGATGCTTTACCATATAATTTATATGTATCCATAATAACGATATAACAACATATCAATATAACAACATATCGATATAACAATTATTACAATTAGCTTATCGTTATACAAACTCTGTATTTATTCCAACAACTGGTTTATAATATAATTATAGATGGTATTCTAACAATTTAACAATTAGCGGTTATCAAACCTACGTACGTACGTACGTACGCACGTATTTACATTTTTTCCGAAATATTTATGGTTCTTCGTCTTGGTCACGCGGGTTCAAATTTTTTTCTTCGTTTTAATCAAAAGACAAAGTGAATAAATAATACTTTTTTTTTCCTTATTAAATTTCGAAATATTATTTATTCATCATTTGAATACATCTTAAATATATTCGAATACATTTGAATATATATTTGTATATATCCTTTAGAAGTTAAACGTATAAACTTTGTTTTTCTTTTCTTTTTTTTTACGTTTTGTAAATATATCATTATATCAATCAATCATTATTTATAAATATAAAATTTCATCGATTACCGATAAATTCTTTTCTTTTTTCTTTTATTTTTATTTTTTACTATCATTTTTATTTTTATTTTATTATTATAAAAAAAAAAATGTCATTCGAATCAGTTGGTCAAAACAAATCAATAAGTGAAAATGTAACGAAAGAAACTTCGACTTCACCACTTCAAGATATTATTACACCAATAGTAACATCAATAGTTCAACAGCCACCATCAACAACTTCCACATCAACAAATATAATATTTCAAACTTCTTCGTTATTAACGTCATCATTCAGAATCCAAAATTCTCAAATTCCCAATTCTCGTATACCAACTTTTAAAACTTTTCAACATAAAACTACCTCATCAATCGTTACAAAATCCCCTATTATAAATGATCATTATGAGAAGAAATCTCAAGATATATTAGAATATAATACGATAGAATTTTTTGAAAATGAACAAACAAATAATTTAAATGATTTAGGTGGTGACGTATCCAATTTAAATCATTTAAATAATGGCGGTCCTTTCAATTTAAGTGAATCTAGTGGTGTATTATCAAGTTCGAGTAATACCGCCGGTATTGATATAGGGACAAGCGGCTCAACTTTTTCTTCTACTTCTTCTTCTATAACCGATTCAACTCCTCCTCTTCCCCCTCCTCCAATTGCTCAACCAATTGATTCTTTTTCTTCTATTCCACCAATACCTGAAAATCCTTTAACTCCATTAAATGGTACTTCCAATACTTCAAGAAGATCTCGTAATACCTATCAATTTCATTCTAAATCTCAAAGTGTAGGTCAAAATGGTCATTTAAGAAGATGGCATAGTAGTAATTCTGGTCTTCATCATTCTAAAAGTACAACTTTTGGAAATTCAAATTCCGAAAATGATGAAATTAGAGCAATATATGAACGTTGGAAATTGGTTTTGCCTAAAGATGATTCAATTTTTGACCAATATAGCTCATGTGTTGATAGGTATGGTTATATTGTTAATTAAATAATAATAATAATAATAATAATAATAATAATAATTATTATTATTACTATTATCATTATTATTATTATTATTATTATTATTATTACATATTATACTTATTATGATTAATTTTTTATTATTATGAATATAGGTATGGATTTATAACGTCATCAGACGGAAAGAGCCCTGCTCCTCCCTTATCACATCATGAATTAAGGTTAGTTAATATTATACATATTATCTTTGTTATTTAAATAAATAAATAATTTAATTTCTTTTTTAATTCAAAAGAATTGAAAAAAAAGAGTCTATAAGATCACTAAAGTGGGCTTTATGGGTATCTTCAAATAAATTTGTTAAAAAATCTGGAAAATTTGGCTGTAGTAGTTATGTTTTTCCTTGGGATAAAAAGGTAATTAATTATCGATAATAATTCGTTCGATAATAATTTGATAGTAATATCATTATGAAATTATTATAATATTTGACAATACTTTTTATTAATATATTTAATATATTTAATATATTTAATATATTTAATCATGTTATTATTTATTATTATTAGTTTTATAATCGAATTTATAAAGGCATACCTGATTCTTGGAGGCATCCTGTTTGGTAAGTGTTTATAATTGTGTAATTTGGTTAAAAAAATTGTCAAATACAAATATTTATTTATTTATACAATTTTATACTAGGTATTTTTTAGTTACAAATGGCGATGCTGAATCTGAATTTGATGATAACTTACAACGTACATATGAGGTAATTTATTAAATTTATTAATTCAAAATTTTATCATAATTTATCGTTTATTTTGCACTAATTTTATTATATGTTATTATATTTTATTATAATCAAGATGTTATTAACGTTACCTTCACAACACGAAAAACAAATTGATCTGGATATTCCACGTACTTTACATTCTCATATTATGTTTCGATCTAGATATGGCCCTGGGTATGTGAATAATAAACATTCAAAGTTATAAAATTCATAAAGTTATAAAGTTATTGGCTAATTTTATTAATATCGTCTTTCTTTAATCTTGTTATTCTTGAATAGACAAAGGGCTTTATTTAACATACTTCGCGCCTTTTCAAATTATAATAAACAAATCGGTTATTGTCAAGGAATGACAAATATTGTAACGATTTTATTAATGTATTATACTGAAGAGGTTTGTAAATTACGTTTTTCATTGTATCAAAATATATACTTAAAACTTAAAACTTATTTCTATTTATCTATATATATTTATATACATATATATATATTTTTTACTTTTCTTCGAGTTAGAGCGCATTTATAATGTTAACAAAATTATTCACAAAATGTAATTTACATAACTTGTTTATACCTGGATTTCCTGCATTATTGGAAAGTTTTTATGTTCAAGAAAAATTATTGTTAAAATATGCTCCGAAAATTGCCTCTCAATTTGTAAGTATATATATATATATATATTTTTTTTTTTAACGTACATTTTTTTTATTAATTTATTATTGATTTATTTTATAAAAGAATAAGATACAATTATCAACAACCGCATATGCAACAAGATGGTATATAACTTTATTTACAAGCGATGTTGTACCTCATCATACTGTGCTCAGAATTTGGGATTTATTAATGTTACATGGATTTGACATATTATACTTTGTTGCTGTTGCTTTATTAAAATATCATAAAGGTATGTATTTCGATCGGGTTTGTTTTCAAAAAAAAAAAACTGTCTTTTCTATAAATTATACATATATTAATTTTTTATTTCTTTTATTTTATTAAAATATATATATATATATATAATCATCCTTATGATACGTATATTTATACGTATATCGTTTTTTATCAATTTTTTATTTATTATTATTATTATTCAAACAATAGCAACTCTAACAACGTCATCATTTGAACATACGATGATAATGTTATCAACAACATTAGTTATAACAGATGATGATAGGTTAATAAAAAAAGTAAAAAAGATGTTTGATCTTAAAGGTAGAAAAGCATTAATAGATACTTTAAAAGCAGAGTATAGAAGTCAAGTTGCTTAATTATTGTCATTATTATTTTTTTTTTGTTTATTTTTGATAATGAATTTTTTACGTAATTATTAGTTTAATCAAATAATTGATTAAGCAATATCTTTAAAAAAAAAAAAATTATTGATATAAAAATCAAATGTATGAAAATCAAATATCTGAAAATTCTAGTTAAAAAAAAAAAAACATTTCATCTCTGATATGCTTGACTTTATAATAAAAGTCATTATTATGAAAATCGGTTTTTCATAAAATTTTTTTTTCAATCGATTCGATAATTTCTTGAAGTTTGAAACCAGTTTTTCATATGTTGAACCCGAGTTTAATTCGGTTTTAATTCGGTTTGGACATATGAAAAATAAATCTGATTCCCAAAATTTACTTATAACCGATAACGATAAATGTGATAGGTAATTAGGGGTATGTTTTGTGGTACTTAACTTGATGTTAATTTGTTCATAATCTTTGTGAAATTAATAAATTAATTCCATAGTTATAATTCTTATCATTACTAACCATTCATTGAAAATTACCTTTCTCGAAAAAAAATGATGTAAGAGGTCACGTGTAGGGATCTGCTATAGCTATAACAATAGGTGCGTGTGTAAAATCGTGATTTTAATTGGGTAATTATAAACATTGATACAAATCACGAATTAAGGTGTTTGTACACAAAATTTTTATAACCTTGATGATAAGAATGTTATCCCTTAAATTGTCAATTATATATCTACGACGATTTAGATTACAATTAAATATAATTTGATAGCTTAATCACAAATCAACAATCAACCATGAAATAGAGATTAATCATATATTTGAGCCAGGGGGTTCAAAGTTACACTTGAAGAGTAATAGGAATATAGAAGCAAAGAATTGAGAATATGAATAAAATGTAGTATATAACGATAAGGGACACCATTGATTATTAATCAATTGATATAAAATAGGTGCCCCTTATACTTACTGTATTTAACCCGAGAAAGTAAATATAATCTTTGATATTTAACTCTTATCATTATTGTAAAAAAAAAAACCAGATTTTATAATTTGGCATGAGAGGTTCTTTGTGAAATGATGTTTATAAACCGTTAGTAAAAATCTTGAATCTGGTTAGTTGAGAATGTTTCTTATTACGTATACTGCACATTATTTTTTTACCAGATTTTTTTTTTTTTTTTATAGAATACAGCTTCTAATTTCACTCTAGTCTTTAATATGAGTACCGCCTAAATGCCAATCAACATATATATTAGATGATCATGAAATTTATATTTTGTTAGAATTTTGTATAATCGTTACACGAACATCAACGAAATGAAAATGAAACACCAATCAAAAAATCAAATCATTATAATTATTAACGTTAACTAAATTAAAAGATATAATTAATCCGATAATATGAAGCTTTTATGATTTTGAAATAATCAAGTTTATTGTGTTTTGACATTTTCAGAAATTTTGACGCTTTTTGATTGGTTGGTAATTTTATCTGTTATCAGTTATACGTCTCCAAAAAAAACATTTTTTTTTTTTTTTTATGCATATAATTGAAAAATGTAACACCAAAATTTACCCGAATATTATAAAAACTTATTTATGATTTTCAGGGACTTTTCAACTATAAAAGAATATTTTCTTAAACATGATTTATTGACTCAGGGGTCGATAGCGAAGTGGTTACGCTCCCGGGTCCCAATCGCAAGGTCGCAGGTTCAAGTCTACTGGGGACCGAAAATAATGTTAGAATCATGATTGAAGACCAACTACAATCATATGACGCTACATCAGAATCGAATAAATAAAGAAAATTTCTGACGCCCAAGATCTGATGGACCTTACAAATCATAGGCAGCGGTTCGTCTAATTGGTTAATAAATTCAATTGTTTTTTTTTACATTATTTAAACCAACCATAATCAAATAAAAAAAAAAAACTATACGGAAGGTTTCATTAGAGTTGTAGGACTCCATAGTCAAAATTAAGATCTAATTCTCGTCTATTTAAAAAGTAATAAATTGATTTTATCGGGTTTGGAGAAGTTATTATTACACTAACTTTTTTAAATGGACGAGAATTAAATCTCATTTTTGGCCATGAAGTCCTACAGAACTAATGAAACTTTCTATACAGTCTTTTTTATATTTCATTATGATTAATTTTCGTTTTTTTAAAAAAAGTACTTTAAACTGTATAAATAATGTAAAATTAAATTGAATTTATTAGCCAATCAGGCAAACTTCTTACAAATACATAAAAAAAGAAGGCCACGACGATCGGAGAGTCCATGGAATGGACGGTAAATTTCCGGCAAAAGCAAAATTAGTTAGTAAAATTAGCAAAATGTTGAAAAAAATTCGTGATTTTATAAATTATGTTCTAATTACTATTCATCTACATCGATATATTTAAAATCATGTTCATTAAAGTATATAAAAAATTTAATCTAGCTATATTTTTTTCAGTAAGAGCTCTTTATCTATCATTTAAAATATGTTTATAATTTGAAAATGAACGTTCAACATCTACTCCTAAAACAGGAATCCAAATATAAACTATAACAATTTTTGAAAGAACGAGTAAGGTATAAGTTTTGTTCTTCCAATAGTTTTCCAAATTACATTCAGAATTAATCTCAAAATTTTCTATATTACAATATAAATTCCATTCATTAATCAATTGATTTGATGGATTTTTAAACTCTAAAATATCAGAATAAACTAATATATTGTAAAGTATTTTCACAAATAAATGCATTGAATACTTTTAAAAAGTGATGATGCATTGTTTGCCGAGTAATGTATACCAAATTTTGTATATGTTAAGTTAAATGCTTTGTTCAAAAATCTTTTACCTCACTTTTCTGCCGTTTTGATTAGTCGCAGGTAAATCTCACCCTGATTGGATGAGATCGTCGACATCATCATACCTTTTGAATGATTCACTTCTGGCTTATCGTTTATTGATCAATCTTTTAAATAGTATAACATAAAGGTATTTCGGTATTTGCATTGGATGTCTTAAGTACGTACATTAAAATTTTGACTTTTAGCAAGTACAGTCAAACCTTCATATATGCATCCCCTTGGGATTGATCATAAGTGTGCATTTATAAAAAGTAGTTTTATAAGTGTTGTTATTAGTTGAGACTGAGGTATAAGGTGCAATTATTGAGAGTGTACATGTATAGAGTGTGCATATATAGAGGTTTGACTGTATATGTAAGTCTGTGCCAATATGAATTGTAAAGCATCTTTCTTCTAAGTTTATGTTTTTTTTTGAGTTTTTTTATATAAAGTATTAATGTTAGTTTAACACTTTTCAAATACTTTATCTCTTAACTTTAATAACTAATTAATTACACTTCACAAATCTAATGAAACAATTAGATACATATTTAGAATCTTTTTATATAGAAAAAATTTAATTAAATCTATACTTGACAAAATTTTTAATCAATTTATTTGTATTATTTAATATAAAAAACTCTTTTCTATATAAATATCATGATTATTTAATATTTTTTTGTTATTATTCTTAGAGTATTTACTTCAAATTTGTTCTCTTTCTTAAAACAAACTTCAACAACTATCAAATATATTAACAAAATTTACTAAATATATGTTTTACTTATTTACAAATACAAATAATGATATACTTATTAATTACAATTACTTAATATTTTAATACTTAACAAACTTATATTACAAGTTAATAACAGTAATATAAAAAGATACTTTAATACTAATATATTTTTAAATCAAATTTTTATATATTAAATCAAAGAATAGTTTTTTAAATTATGAAAATTACCTTTAATTCAAGATACAATACTTAAAAATTATAGAAAAACCTTTAATTTTATTATAATATTTCAACTATTTTATTTATACAAAAATAATATCTTCCTTAACAACTTATTATTTTATTAATCAACCATCTATAAATAAACTAATCAACTAAATAATATTTATAATTTTATTTTATTTTCAGATAATCTAATAATATTAAGTTTTAAAAATAATAAATACTTCTTCTTGAATAATTATTTATAATTGATATTTTCTTAAAAAAATATCTATCTTAGAACTTTTAAATTCCCTTAAGGTCTTATTCCAAACTAGTTCAAAATCTTTTTAAATAAAATATTCTCTTTTTCTATTTTATATATATAATCCAATTTTTAACTTTAACTAATCAATCTATTTCTAAATATACTTAATCTAATTACACCTCAATATAATAATTTTAAAAATATATAGACATTTTATATCTTATCTGAAAATTATATCTTAGTAAAATAATAAATACATCTAATTTTATAAAAAATTTTTAAAAATATCAAATTATTACAATAATATTCAATATAATTTATATTTTTTCTATACCTATAACTTTTCAAATAAATTATAAACAAACTATCAATTTTGTATATAAAACATAAAAAAGAAAACACTACTTTGAGCTAAATATTAATATTTAAAAAATCTAAATATTTTGAAATATTTATATAAAATTATATAAATCTGTTTTACAAACACTTCTAATATATTTATTACCTTTTTAAGAAATCTTCTTAATCCAAAACACAATATCTAATCTTTTATATTAAAACTCATTTATAGATCTATATAAAAAATATTACTTTTTGATTCAAACAATCTATATTTTTATACTAATGACTTAATAATAAATATACAAATATATAATATCTTTGCTGATATCATTTGAATATTTAAAAATAATATACAAATCAAATTTAATGTCTCTATAACCTATATATTAAATTTTACAAAAATAGAATTAGTAGCTTTTATTCTTTTTTTTCTTATCTTATCTTCTAATTATCAAATTTATATTTATTTTAATAATTTATTTAATATTCAAACTTTTATATATTCAATATCTTATAACTACAACTTACAAAATAAATTAAATAATTAAAATATTATTCATATTCTAAACTTTTTAACTAAATATAAAAATATCAACTATACTATATACAAGGTTAAATCCTATTCAAATAATACTTTATATAATATAGTTAATGTTTTAACTAAATACAAAACTAACAAAACTGAGTTTAAACTTAATTTTAATTACTTTTATTTTTTTATTTTTTTATTTAAAATTAAATCTCAATTATATATAAATTAAATAAATTCTATAAAAACTTATTTTTAATTTAAATATTTAACAAATTTCTTTAACTTAAATCATTAAAAAATCTTTTTATTATAAATATCCAACTACTAACTAAAATTATTAACTATTAAAACTTCAATCTTAATCTATATTTCTTTAAAAATAAAATATTGTTTAACAATTTATTAATAGTATTTAATTTAAATATTTACTATCTTATTTTCTATTTAATTTTAAACTACTTATATTGTAATTAAAATAAAAATACT